ACAGTTCAGGATGTATGACAGAGTAGCTGTAGCTGCCTAATTGAATTATGAATTAAATCAGAATTTTTAAAGCCAGGCAAGGTAAGAATGAATCTAAAGTTCAAACTAAGTCTTAACCCGAGCAGTTGTGAAAGGCTGGTGGCATGTGGGTTGTTCATTAAATCAAGTGGAAAATGTAGGCAGTGAGATTGTAATAAAAAAATACAAAAATAAGTGGAGCACTAAGATACCTGTACAATTGTAGATATGATGTATGTTATAGCCTGCAAATAACAGACAACCAAATCATAGTGCAGACAAATGTGGTGCAAAGGAAAAATGGAGAACAATACGCATATAAAATGTAAACTCACAAATATAGAGCCACAGGGTCACCTGGCTCTAGTGATATACGCCTTGGGATCTTTAAAGGGGATCCACTGCCCTCTTCTTGTATCCTCCTGGTGTCTTTAATTGATTGTTGGCATCTGTGTTGTCAGATGTGGTATTTCACGGGACAATTACTTTGTTAGATATTCAGACAATTACAACCTTTTTCTCAGAGTCTCAGGCTTAACTGCCTCCTCTAACAGCTGGGAGAGAGGAGGCAGTTAAGCCTGAGACTCTGAGAAAAAGGTTGTAATTGTCTGAATATCTAACAAAGTAATTGTCCCGTGAAATACCACATCTGACAACACAGATGCCAACAATCAATTAAAGACACCAGGAGGATACAAGAAGAGGGCAGTGGATCCCCTTTAAAGATCCCAAGGCGTATATCACTAGAGCCAGGTGACCCTGTGGCTCTATATTTGTGAGTTTACATTTTATATGTGTATTGTTCTCCATTTTTCATTTGCACCACATTTGTCTGCACTATGATTTGGTTGTCTGTTATTTGCAGGCTATAACATACATCATATCTACAATTGTACAGGTATCTTAGTGCTCCACTTATTTTTGTATTTTTTTGTTTGTGATTTGTGAAGGTTAAGGGAATCCTTTACTTAAGTGTAGAGCCTAATTTCACCTTTCTGGTGGAGTGTGCACTTGTTTTGTTTACATACAGTGAGATTGTAATGCCTACATTTCAACTTTTTTGAAGTAGGGATCTAAATAAAACCCTGAAAGAGAAGAAGGATTTGGTTTATACTGAATGGAGTAACATAGTATTGGTAGATTGCGTGCTAACATTATATCTTCATGTTTCATTCAAGTCTTTGAACAGTCCAGAAAAACAACAGTGTAGAAGCTGCAAGTGGCTGAGGAAGGGGGTAGTTGAAGATATTCTTCTGGCTAGTAATATATATCATTTTGGTTTTTTTTTTCTTGTGTAATTGATTTAAGGGTTTTGACTTTACAAATGGCGAATGTAAAGAAATAACAAATCATCAGCGCTCCAGCATACATGGTGTGTATCAGACGCAACAGGGCAGACACAACAATGCAAGAATATATCCGAAAGCTTGTGGAATCCAAAAAGTTGCAGGAAGGAGGTTATAGGTTATATGTGTTTTATACCCCCACCTCCCATAGACTGTAAGCTCTTCAACCTATCGTTCCTGTAAGTTTTCTTGTAATTGTCCTATTTATAGTTAAATCCCCATCTCATAATATTGTAAAGCGCTACGGAATCTGTTGGCGCTATATAAATAGCAATAATAATAATAGGGAGTGGAGAGAGAGAAAATGCCTTCTACTGAGTGCTGAGGAAGTGTCATTTAGTAGATGCAAAATGCGTCCAGTTTTTGTGTTTTTTTTAAAATTATTTTTGCTTGCTTAATTGTTTAGGTGCATGGACTTTGTTAATTTTAAATTTTAAATAAATAAGCACAGGCAAGAAAGTGTTCCCATTCACTTTATTTGAAATGCCTTATGAGCGTGGTTTGGACTTTTGGGGGGCATTTTTTGATCATGTGAATCTTGGACGAGTGAAACTGCAACCGGTGATACCTGCTTGTGGAGTCTATAACCAGTAATTTCAGTAATTTTGAAGCTATATATTTCCATTTTGTCACACAGTTGCTGTAGGGTAGCAGCACTGTCATTTCCTTGGATTAGGGTAGCAACACTATAATTTCCTCGGATGGTTTTGACGATAGCATCCAATAGAAGTAGTCGAGTTTTACTCTGATATTTTGGAGGAAGGACCTCTAGTGGCTGTCAGAGTTACAGCCACTAGAGGTATTTCATACCATTCAATGTAAACATTGCAGTTCATGTTTTTAGTTGCAGGGTTAAACGGACAGGGGTGTGACACCCAGACCACTTCATTGAGATGAAGTGGTCTGGGTGCTTATAGTGTCCCTGTAATTATAAATCATCTCTATCTAGTGGAAGGGCAGATACATAAGAAAGTGCATTGCATATCCTACAGGTTTAAACAAAGACTTCAACCTATTTATACTAGAATTGACCATTTTCTTCAAGCAACAATTAATCTTAATGCCACTTGCTTCTACTACCTAATGACCTAAATCAAATTCTAATCATATATTAGGGAAGTCAAACGTTTTCTATATTGCAAGATGTACATGTCTGAGTAATGTTGTAAATAATGGTAGCTTATGTTCAGCATTTTAAATAAGCATTTTTTTTTTTAGAAACTGAGGGGGATGAGGGGTTGTGTTTAAAAATAACCTTAATATATGCTAACGCAAGAGTTTTTTTTTTTATCCTTTAAGGTAAATGAGATGAATAAGAATAGATTTCCTTTGCATCCACTGTGACACAGTATTTAGATATTGTTTTCGAGTCTTGGCAAATTGCAACTTTTAAGTAATTTTCAGGAATTCATCCCCCAAGGGGCTCTGACGGCAGCTATTATGTAAGTGTTGCTCCATTTAACCTGGCCTTCACTCTCATAACACTGACATCTGAACAGCTTGTTAGGTCCATTGTTGAAACCATGGATCAAGTATCAGATACTGGTGCGGAAAATGATGATGGAGCTAGTGAATTCAACTACCGATTTTATTTTTAAAGGGACACTTGAGGCACAAACAAAACAGCACATCCACATGTCATACTATATATTTGTTAGCTTTTGATCTAAATAGCAAGGTGTGTTTTTGTGAAATCATGTTTTGAAGCATTCTGCATTTCAATTCTACATCCAACTCTCCCATTTTAAAAGTCTTCCTTCCTTCCTGCTGGTTTCATGCTGCATTTCTTTAACTCTGTCGTATATATTGTACCAACACCACACTAGTGATACTTAACTGGCGATGAATGCAAGTGGGGTTCAGTAGCAGCTATCCCTGGAGACTTCCCAGGTGTCTCCTTATGTACAGTACAAGCAAACTATTGTGAATACAGCTGAAATGTAAAACATAAACACCGAACAAGAACCCTTGCATAGTATTTATTAAAATCATGAAGGCATTGCTTAATTAAATTGCTTAATTATTTATTATTGCACTCACAGGGAAAAGTGTAATCTTAGTGCTTGATAGGTGCCCCCCGATCCCAGGGGGGTCAATGCTCACACCTCCTTCTATAATCTTTCATTAGAGTGTAGCGTATTTAGTACCTGGAGGTCTGGAAAGAGGGATGCCACACAGTAGCCGACATACCAGAGAGTCTATACAAAGGGGGTTATCCTGTACATGATACGTTAAAATGGTTGACCAAACCCCTCAGCCCCTCCATGAGTCTCATTCCCTCCCTCCATCCCCTCCATGTGTGTCATCGTGTCATCCTACAGCCCATGCTTGTGTCACATTCCCTCCCCCCAGTTCCTCCAGGTGTCTTATTCTTCCTCCCAGCCCCTTGATGTGTCTCCTTCCCTTCCCCCCAGACCCTCCATGTGTCTCATCACCCCCCAGACCCTTCATGTGTCTCATTCCCCCAAGCCCCTTCATGTGTCTTAGTACTTTCTGTCAGACAGCAGCTCGCTTAGCCACACTTCATACAGTGACCAGCACATCACAGGCCTCCCCTCTTGCCAGTCACCCAGTAACTGTGCACCTGGGCCAATGTGGCCATGTACCGTCTTTGAAGTTATGCCAGTCCATGGTCGCAGGGGACCCAGCTGTGGCAGGGCCTCCTGGAGTAACAGGCCCGGTCACAGCTGCAACCCGTGTGCCTCCTCTTGAATGATACAATGTAACAACATTGATTATTTACTTATTTTTTTATCTTTGTTACATGTGAAGCTATTGATCTGAATAATAATTCTCACAATTAGCCAGTATTGTGTCAAAACGAGAAACACATAGTGTAACTCCCCTGTTCATTAACACTGAATGCACTTTTAGCACTTGTGACGAAACGTCGTCACTAAGTGCCATATCCACATGTGCCCACTGCTTATTCGTGTGTTTTCCCTTGTTTCCCCATGTGTTTCGTACTGTGCTCTGTTTCCCATTTGGAATCCGTTCGTCTCTGGAACGGGGACCGCACTATTAGAATGTTCACACCAATCAACTAAAACTTTTGCACCTATAACCTACGTGTGAAACCGCAAGGTAAGTAATTAATGAGTGCTCCCCTGGGTGGCCGCCATTTTGTATAGATGAATGCCAACCAGGGGGAGCATTTGTATCCCAAAAGGAGACAATTCCCTTGCTGGGTCTTTGCACAAGAACTCCACAAATGGGTACCTGAGGTTGGTGGGGACACTTTTAATGGGGTACTGGCTGTTCGGGCAGGGGATCGCCCTACCTATTTGGTTCACACTCTTTCTCCAGATTTGTAAACCACCCCCCTCCAGCCTAAGACTGAGAGACTTGAGCTGAGTGGAATGGAGACCCCCTGTGTGGGTCTTTGTATAAATAAGCATGTACCAATAAAGCATTGTCAGTGTTGTACTCCCAGAGCTGTGTTTAATCCAGTTATTAGGGGGGAAAAGATGACTGCTTGTTGTAAGGATTCCAGAGTGGCTGAAGGGAGGAATTAGCGGAGGTAACTGGTCGGGTTACCCGGGGTCCGCTACAACTAGTGGCAGCGGTGGGATAGTACTTCCTAGCTGAACTGAACCATGTTCAGCCCCATGAAGGATTGAAGAGGAACTTGGGAGAATGGAGCGAGCTAACACCCGTGCAACGTCCCCATACGAGGAGGAGTTCCAGTGGAGGCTTCAAGAATCTCTATCCCAGAATTATGGTCCTGCCTCAGAGGAGCATGACCTGGAATGGAGGGTGGCAATCCAAAATGAATTCTGGAAGGAGGACCTCGACATAGCACGACTCTTCCAGAGTGAGAAGCTCACGACCACCGACGAGCACCACTGGGAACAACAAGAGCTGTGAATGCCATTCCTGGGAGACCAGCCCTTAGAGGGATGGTTAAGAGAACTGGAGAGGCTTGTCCTGACAGAAGTATGGTTGGATGAATCGTACCGGGCCTTTAGGTGGCATGCCTACTCTAACTACCCGTGGCTGGTCAATATAAAATGCATCGTGGGAGAGGACTATGATGTCCCTGGTCTTTTGTTGGAGACTTTGGAAGATGATCTGGGGTTAGGAGACCCACAATGGTTCCTGCTTCTGGTGCATCTGAGATGAGCGGAAAGACCTCTTGAACCTTACAGAGATAGCGGGACTGCAGCCGGATCTGCTCTTACTTGCTAACCTGAGGTGAAAGCTCGAACAGGACTATGCGGGCCTGTTTGACTATATAACATCTCCTGTCTCAGAAATGACAGAGTTTATGGACTTTACAAGCCCGGGATAGTTGAGTTCCGTCCTTCCTCCCCAGTGGCAGTGCAAAGTCCAGGGAATGGAGACAACCAGTCTCGTTCCCCAGCAGCAGTGTGAGGTCCCGGGAGAGAAGCGTTCCGTCCTTCCTCCCCAGCAACAGTGTGAGGTCCAGGGAATGGAGACAACTGGTCTCGATCCCCAGTGGCAGTGTGTAAACCAAGCAACTCCGTGGAACTAATTGCGGGGGTGTATAGAGCCTCGGGCCCAGACTTTATACAATGATTTCTCAGGTTCTGTACATCCGCTATTTGCAGGGATCCTAGTTGGGACCCAGGGCTATGCAGGGTTATATATTTTATATGTGTACCCCTTTTCCTTCCCAGGGCACAGAGCCCCCTAAGTTTCCCCCATGTATGTAATTGTGTCCTATTGTCTGTAAATGTTGTACTGTTGGTATCTCCCAGAGCAGGAGATGGTTATTTGTAAACCATCCCACTTCAACTTAAGACTGAGGGACTTCTGCTGAATGGAATGGATAACATTGTATTGTACACAAAATTAAGCAAATCTGATATTTTATAAATAAAATAAATAAAAGTAAATATATAAATACAGAGTGAGAAGACAACACTACTTTGACGTGTTAGCTGGATATGGAGCAACAATGAAAGAGGAGGTCCTTCTTGTGAGGAGACATTTTATATCCCGTTTTTTTTGTTTTTGTTTCTGATTGGTTAATGTTCATATGGTTTGCGACTCTGGAGATGCAGTAAAGAAAGAAAAGGAAATATGAAGCCTCCTGTCAGGTTTTAAAATTGTGTTTACCGTATTTTCGTGTTTGTTTTCAAATATACAAGTACAGTTCAAAAAAAGGTTGAGCTCGCTGAAAAAGTCTAATTTATACAGTTGAAAACAATTATGCCATGCTTTTGCTCTAATTATCTGAAAACATGGAGAAATAAATTGCTGATCTTCGTGTGAGGTGGCAGAAAGTGACCCATTGAAAATGCCAATGCCATGGTACAACTAATTGTTATGTTCTAATCAAGTAAATCGCTAATAGTTTGTTGCTGAGATTTTTTATAAAAAGTAAAGAATTGATGTCACAGTAAATCAGTTCAACGACTCACTTTGAAAGTTGAAAGAGAGATATAACTTATACCTGGTTGAACTTTTAGGGAAAGTATATAAATTAAATCTGTTCAAAATAGGGAAAAACATCATTAAATGACCCCTTCATGACGGAGTGTAATAGTACTCGTAGGCAGGCATGGTTAATTCACTCAAGTGAGATTTGTTGGGCATTCATAGAATTTCAAGTTTCAGGCCAAATTAGCTAATCTGTGAAACTATTCAAGTCAACTTTTAAATTCACTTTTAATTCAATTTGAATTCGTGAAAATTTGCACAAAAATGAATAACCCTGTAAGTGTAACATTATTTGAAACACGAGATTCAAAGCTTTCATTTAATCTTACAACAAAGCAGAAATTTCAAGAATAGATTGCTTTCCATGGATATTTAAATGTATTATACACACACACACACACATATACATATATATATATATATACATATATATATATAAAAACCTAAATGTACTGGCTCCTCATTATATAATGTGTTAGACAGTACATCGTATAATAAAGTTTTAAGGTATCACTTTAAATACGGAAATCTGGTAGGTCCATCCTATAGTTGAACTCTTTATCTTCCATGTCACAGCCTGGAGAAAGAAAGAGAAAAATCTGTGGAATGTCTAAACCCTAAATAAAACACCTGTAATGGACATCACTGGGACCATTCTGCAGGTTCTCAATATTTCACTATGACGGAACAAATTAACTTAGTTTCTTTATTCATGCAATTTTTTCATTTACTGAATGCAACAAATCATGCATTTAATTTGCACCATTCATATGTCAGGTATATATCTAGTTGTCTCCAGAATGATAGTCTAGATGTCAGGGTCTTGAGCAGGTCAGGTAAGAGACTTATGCCAGGGTTAACATTTGAAAGTTTATTTGGGACTTTAGACATATTTAGACACAAATTGCAAGTCAAAGAGGGAGGTAAGTAAAACAGGGAGAACAGAAAAAGAGGTTGAGGCAAATATAAGTAGGAAAACCTATAAACGAAATTATAGGTGAGGTTGAGAGAGAGCCTATAAATTAAATTATAGGTGAGAATAGGGAGTGGCAAATAGAAAAGGGAGTTTAGGCAATATGCAACAGACAGGTTATAAATAAGAATTAGGCAATTGTAAGCAGGGGAACCTATAAATGGAATTATAGATAATATTGAGAGAGAACCTATAAAATTAAATTATAGGTAAAAAAGGAAGGGTAACAGAAATAGTGGTTTAGGCAAGATGCCTCAGAGAGGTTATATACAGACAGGGTATTTATAGCATATTAGAGGATAGTGAGAAATCCTATATATGAAAATATAGGATAGTGTGATAGGTAAAACAGAACTCAACAATAAGGTATCAGAATAGCAAACTAAATAGTAATTTAGTGAATCAGTCCCCTGTTTGGATGGATCACTGATAAGTAGGCAAATAACTCTTTGCAATATTGGTTATTTGGGTAGTCCAGGGTGATATGATACAGTATGGTAATATCAAGCAGATTGGTAAGGTAGTCCAGGTTGGTGTGAAGCAGGGTGGCAATAAAGCTGGTTGGTAATATAATATCAGGTTGCAATCACAAAGCAGGATAGTGGTATAATGCAGGTTGGTTTGTAGATCTGTTCAGGTTGAAACTAAAGTAGCTTGATTTAGTAGTCCCGGTTGATAATAAAATGCTTGCTAGTATTGAAGGTTGGTAATGTAGTTCGGCTTGGAATAAAAAGGTTTGGTAGAGAAGATAAGATTCATCTCCAGTAGGATGATAATGGTGAAGGTAAGTTCACAGGAGCTAGGAACAAAGACCATCAACTTCAATCTAAAGGCCCTGTTTTAAGCAGAGTGTAGCCTTTTGTAGGTGCAGTAATCAGGGCCGGCGCCACCTGTAAGGCGACCTAGGCAGCCGCCTAGGGCGCACCTTAGCAGGGGGCGCCGGATCCCTGCGCCCGGCGGCTCCTCATGCTGCACCGCCTGAGCGCTTTAGCAAGCCCCAGGCGGCGCGGCATTGCTGTGTGGAGGGCGGCCAGGTTTGTGACCGGCAGGGCGCTCCCTCCTGCCGGTCTCTCAATGTAGCGTGGCCGGGCGGCGCGGAACGCGGGACAGGAACCTCTGTTTCCTGTACCCGGCCGCCGGCGGACTGACAGGAAGTGCACACAGCCCGGCCACGCTACATAGGCAGGAGGGGGGGTGTAAGGAGGGGGGAGGGGACCATCAGGTGGGGGGTGGGCAGGGGAGAGGACCACGGGGAGGTGTGAGCAAGGACCACCAGGGAGGGGGGGTGAGTAGGAGACACCCAGGAGGGGGAGTAAGGAACACAGGGGTGGGAGGTGGGTAAGGACCACCAGGGGGGAGGGTGAGTAAGGACCAGGGGGAGGGGGAGTAAGGACCAGAGAGTAAGGAACACAGGAGGAGGGTGAGGACCACCAGGGGGGGGGGAGATGGGTGAGGACCACCAGGAGGGGGGGGGGGGAGGGAGAGGGGGGAGTAAGGACCACCAGGGAGGGTGAGTAAGGAAACACCAGGGAGGGGAGGGAGGTTAGTAAGGAACACAGGGGAGGAGAGGAGGGTAAGCACCACCAGGGAGGGCAGGAGGGGTGAGTAAGGGCCAGGGGAGGGGGGAGTAAGGACCAGAGGTGGAGGGGAGGGGGAGTAAGGACCACTGGGGGAGGAGAAGGAGGGGGTGAGTAAGGACCACTGAAGGTAGAGGGGGGGAGTAAGGGCCACAGGTGGAGGAGAGAGATGGGGCGAGTAAGGACCACTGGGGGAGGAGAGGGATGGGGGTAGTAAGGACCACTGGGGGAGGAGAGGGATGGGGGTAGTAAGGACCACTAGGGGAGGAGGGGGGGAGTAAGGACCACTGGGGGAAGAATGGGGGGAGTAAGAACCACTGGGGGAGGAGAGGGGGAGTAAGAACCACTGGGGAAGGGGGGGTGAAGGAACACAGGGGGACGGGGGGTGGGGAGTAAGGACCACTGAGGGAGGAGGGGGGGTCCACTAAGGGGTTTGGGAGAGGGAGGACCACTAAGGGGGGAAAGGACTACTAAGGGGGGGTGAGGGGAAAGAGGATAATGACCACTGGGGGGGGGATTACCACTAAGGGGGTGGGGGGAGGAGGGGAATGTCTACTAAGGGGTTTGGGAGAGGGAGGGCCACTAAGGGGGAAGGGGGGACTGAGAAGACCACCAAGGGGGGACTACAGGGGGCCAAGGGAGAGCACTAAGGGACAGAAGGGGAGAACACGGAGGGACAGGAGGGAAGGGGAAATCAATAATTGACAGGGGGGGAGAGCACTATGAAAAAAATAAAGAGCAGCTCCCCTCTCAGTCTCTATCCTACCCCACAAACCCTCTCTTTTACACTACACACATACACAATGCATCCCCCCCCCACACACACACACAGAAACATACAATGCATTCCTACTCAGACACACCCGAAACACACAATGCATCCCTTACGTTCACACAAACACTCATTCTCT